TATGTAATGATTTGAAAACGTTCAAAATTTTCGTAAGATTTTAATCAACGGCAATATGCCAATATTATACAGTTGTCAGTTTCCTTTTCACGCAGTCTACCTATAAAGTATTTTCAACATTTTTATGTAATTAATTCAAAATTTGAACGACAAGTTTCTCAGTMATTTTATAATTATGTAAATTAATTTTTATTTTAAGGTTAATAGTGCTTGAAAATTTTTTTTTTACTTTATTGGTTGTTTTTCGAACATTTTACTATAATTTTATTAATTGTTAGCATAGGCGCCGCCAGGAATTTTGTCAGGGAGGTGCATCGTGCATAGTATACTTTGATTTCTAAATAATGTTTGAATTATTTTAGTTAAATACGTAGAAATAGTTTTCAAATTATATGACGATACAAAATTATTTTTGTTTTTTCATCTGATACAAAGTTTTTAATTATGAAAAAAATAAATATTTTCAATACCTACTATAACATTTTTTTTTTTAAAGCCTGGGGGGTGAATGCACCCCCTTGCCACCCCATCGCGGCGTCCTTGATTGTTAGTGTATATTAATTTTCACATTGTATTTTCGTACATTAGTTCTGTTAATCTACGAAACACAATGGAAAGTTCTCGAAGTTGCTAATTCAAAACATTTTGTTCTGACCATTTATCATATTTAACAATACTCCAATAGATGACGCTGGTGTTATCAAATTAATTTAAATTCATTTATTACACCGGCCAATATCGTTACCGCCTATTGGCGTTAGGTTACATTTCTTTTATTATATTTMATTTAGCATACAGTTCTGAATGGATCATAGTTCACATCTGATCTTAGTAGGTACTTACATGAAGTTAAATAACTCAAAAAATACTCGTTCGAATTTTAATTTTGATACGTCCAAATATATTTTTTTAAATGTTCACCAAATAGTATGCTGCAGAATAAGTAGTTTTCAAAACAGAAGCTTGAATCGCCATAGCCTTCAGAATATTAATTAGGTAGTATAAAAAATCTGAATATTTTAAATTAAAGGGGGCTGATAGAGTGTRATATATTTTAAGGAGCAATAATTAGACATTTCGTATAGCATTCATACACAGAATATAATATGAATATTTCATATACTCTGTGATTCATATTTAAATTGTGTTACTTGTGAGAAGTAAATTAATGTTTATTCCTGT